GAAAACCCATTGCTGATTGTCGAGGCCAAGGCTATGATAATGCTGCCAACATGCCAGGTAGATATAATGGTGCTCAGCAGCATTACCCAGTACTCGCCCTGTGCCTGCCACTCGTTGAATCTCTGTGGTACCAATTCCGCCGTATGCTGTCCTGAAGCTGTTATTTTTTTGGTATGGTACAAACTATATACAACCTTTTCTCGGGCAGTCCACAGAGATGGGACATTTTACTAAGCCATGTTGGGTCGTCACTACATGGATTATCATGTACAAGATGGAACAATCGCGTTGCTAGCGTCCGACCATTTGCAGCCCATTTGCCAGGAATCAAAAAAGCCCTTGAAGATCTCCTGTAGCTGAATCTTACCCCGAAAACAACCATTGAAGCAGGGCCTATTTTAAGAAATTTTTAATACTGCACAATTATAACTACATTTTTTATTTGTCATCATTTACATGCATAGTGATGTCTGCCTTGTGGTCGAAGGTTCTTGTCCCAATCGACCAAAGAAAACCAAGTAATTCAGGCCAGGGAAGCAACGATAGATGTTGAGGTCTCAAACTTAAGAAGCCTGATTGACGAGCTTAAGGAACTGCGCAGCCAATGGCCTATGATTTTGAAAGAATCGAAGCTAGTTGCAAATTCATTAAATATTTTGGCTGAATTTCCAAAAAAGCGCAAGAGCAGGAAAGATGTCGAAGAAGGTGGCGATGAAGCTGATAAAATCGAAAGCAGAGAAGCGAGGGCATTCAAGCGTGATGTATTTCATACAATTGTTGATTCGGTGATTTCAGGATTGACAACACGCTTTGATGCTGCAAATCACATTTACCACATGTTCAGCTTTCTTTGGGAGTACTTGATTCTGTCTGAAGAGGAAATTTTGCAGGTCTGTGGCATCTTTGCCAGTAAAATGTAGTGAATATTTGCCTCGATGGACTGAGAGAAGAAATGGTCCGCATCAGGTCACAGAATAGAAATGACTATTCTGTGATCAGGTCAATCCACAAGGCAAATTTTGGAGAGAAATCGTTGAATCCGTTGCAATTATTAAACAGCATAAGCCAATTTAAACTTGATGAGTTTTTTACAACGTGTGTACAGTGCCTGTGACCGTTGCTTCTGCTGAGCGATCATTTAGCAAACTCAAGCTAATAAAGAACTTTTTGAGGAGCACAATGACTCAGCAACGACTTTCAGATTTGGCTGTCTTAAGCATCGAGACTGAAACAGCAAGAAAGATGGATTTTCAAATGCCATGAGGAAAGCAAGAAAAGCAGTTTTTTTAAACATTAAATTAACTCTGATTTTTAAACTGATTTGTTTTAATGATTTGTTTGATATAGTCACTAATTACATGTTCTGTTAAAGACCTTAAAATACAAATTCAAGTGTTTCAGGGGCGTTGATTTCAAAATCCATGCCTTTTACAGTCCTTCTAACTGCATTGCTAAGGCCGTAACCCAAAAAAGGTTTTTGCAGCCTTCGACGGTGGGACCCCATGACAGTCCCTGCCCTGGGGCCCGGCCCGTCTCTCGACGGCCCTGGTTTGTTGAAAGGATGGAGAAAGCTACATTTCATATTCATATAAAAGAGAGTAATTATTTAGAGAAGAATGCCTAAATAGAGACATGGGTATCAATTTCATATTCTAAAAATAGCATAAAGAGGTAATTTTTCATTTCCTTTTCTCTTTATATAATGCACCTAAATCTTTCCTTTCCCACTTTTTTCATAAATCAGTAATGACATATGGAGATTGGCTCAATTCGAGGACTGGGGCCAAGTACCCCAGTCTAAAAATAGCACTTGGGGGCATTTTTCGGCTTGTGTCTGTTCGGCATCGTCATCAGCGTGTGAAATTACCCCAGTGTACCCATTTTCAGGCTGGTATCACAACTTGCACGATTCATGTTCTAACAGCCCAGACTAAATAAAGTATGGCCAGATTTGTTCTTAAAAAGTATTATCAAGAAAACTTCAGAGTTTGATCGTTTGGATAATCCATTCCTACTAAGAAAGAGAAAATATCGACGCAATTATAAATTCTATTTAAACTCATTTTGACAAGCCCAGTATGAAGCTTTTTCAAATTTTTGTTAAAGCACTTAATTTTCGAAAAAGTTAAGATCAGATGTTACAAAGTTATACCTTAACTGTACAAAATTGCTTAAATTTTTATTTTTAGTTGATAGTTCTTCTGTTATTAATCCGTGTTTCGTTTATTTTTCTCCCCCATCTTATTTCCGGTACTTTTAAAATAAAAAAAAAGGTTTTATCACAAGCTATATGATAGTGGTTATTCCAAAACTTTGCAAAACTTTTATATTTCAAGTCAACATCACAATAAACGCGACTTCGCGACACCTTCAATCAAAATTCATTTTAGATACAGTTTCTGGCCATCCCTAAGGCACCATAATTCTAAAATTTTTCTTGCCTTCAATCATAGTGGCGGCCTTTCCTAAGCCCTTTCAAGACTTTGATTTTTTGGCCCCTCCACTTTCAAATACGTTTCCCCAGGCCCTGCATACTGCAGGAAAGGTGAAAATAAAGAATTATAAAGACAAATCAAAACGATAATTGGTAAAAAGTCTTTAATTTTGAAGAACATGCCACAAGTTCTAGCTAGTTTTTTTAAAGGTTCTGCTAAGTGATATTTCCATGAGAGATTTTCATCCAAAAGAACACCAAGAAATTTGACATAACAGGTCTTTCTGATTGGAAGGTTACAAATTTTGATACTAACAGTGACAGGGCAAAAATGCTGAGGTGACTTAAAAATGACAAAATTAGTTTTATCTCTATTCAGAGCAAGTTAAGAGCCACACTTTCACTTTTTTCAATTCTTTGTTAACCACTTTTTGAAGCAGGTCAAGATTTTCAGATTCATAGTAAATGTTAGTATCATCTGCAAATAAGTAAAAGACTAATTTTGAACTTGAGTGTGGCAGATCATTAATGTAAATTAGGAAAAGGAGTGGACCAAGCACAGAGCCCTGTGGTACCCCACAGGTAATATAACATCAAGACAAATTCCTCGGATTCCATAATGTTCAAGTTTAATTCAAAAGAATGCGTTCCTACCAAACAAAAAAGTTCCGTCATTTATGAATTTACGTGCCAGTGTGATTCTGGCTACGTAGGACGCACAACCCAAAGATTGGGGGATAGGATAAAACAGCATCTTCCTTCCAACATAAGAAACAAAACTGCCCCTCAAAGAGAACAGCCTCCTCGATCTTGTAGGTCTAGAAACACTGTTAAAACAAATGATTCTGCCATCAGTCAACATCTTTTAGACAACCCAGATTGTGCAAAACTCTATAATGACGACATGTTTCGGATAATTGGCAGAGCCCGGTCGTCCTTCCATCTAGCAGTTTTGGAGTCGATCTAAATACAAACGGAAAAGCCGCAATTGTGTAGACAAAAGGAATTCGTTTTCTCTCTTGGACTCCATTGGTAATTTTTCTTTAGGCTCGCGGCACTGATTGGGCAACTACACCGGTCTTGTACTTGTTTTTTTTCTGATTGGCCTATTTCGACCCACAACTGGGTATATATTTTTCATCGTGTTCTTTCGGACCCTTATTCTGACGTTTTATGCTCTGAGGAGTGTCAGAGGAAAAAGCTTTTAGTATGTTGTAAAATGCTTGCTTTTTTCAAAACCATTTTCAAATCCTGTACCTCAAAAAATTATTCTCATTTATATTTCTATTACAATACGTTCTACTTCATTTTCTTATAATCCTTTATATCCTTCCCCTATACTTGTGGCAGGTGCAATTTACTCAACAAATGTTCAGATTTATTGCAACATACCAATGAATCTGCATTGAGCAATCGTACATGGATAATTAGTAAAAACTGATTCAAACCCAAATTATGATGCAGGGAACTGAAAAGAATTTTCGAATCTTTAGTCTTTATCTACGTCAAAGCGAATTCCAGTCCCTATCTCTTTCAAAGTTTCAGTCTCTATGATTATCTAAAGCCTAAGCTGTATTCGAAAAATAATTTTAATTTCTTATTTTTACATTCAAGCAATTTAGTCCCCTTCCATCCCTACGCCAGTTGAAACACATAATTCTTTTCCCCTCCATGAAATATTCTTTAAAGGCTACAAAGTTTCAAGTTCGAGTCATCTCCGCGCAATTGGCCGAAGGTGTGTGGGCACGTTCTTCACTGCCATAGCCCTGCCATAGTAAAATAAATTTGCAACGCTGATTAGGTTTATCTCAACAGTCTTTTCTTTGTGTATAGAAAGAATCATGCAGTGGTTAAGTCGTCCTCGGGACAATTCTTTAACTCCCCTTAGACTTTGTTGTTAAAGACATACTAAGAACATTTTTCTCGCCCAAGTCTCCTCGGTAGTCTCCTTACCATCACCTCTGAACTTGCGCCTTTTGCATCATGACCATCTGCATCATGAAATATGTTTGCATCAAGAACTTAAGTAAGAAAATTTCAGTCAAGTATCAAGAGAAATATCTTCATAATAACTTTGAGTGCTTTTTTGTTAATCAGTAAGCACTAACAAAAAACTGTTGTCATATGGAATTCAATGTGACCATTATATCTTAATTATACATACACAATATGGACCTGTCTTTGAAGCGAACTCATTTCTATTCCAGCGATCCTCAACGATCGGATCGTTCACGATCGCTGGGGATCGCTACAAATTTGACATGCGGTTTCCATTTGATCGTTTACGATCGCTGCAAAACTCCAGCGATCCTCAGCGATCGTGAACGATCAAATGGAAACCAGGCTTTAAGATGCGCAGTTCAATCTAACATTCGGTGAAGAATCTTCCTAGACATTCTGCTAGACATCTTTGAAGCCAGGAGAAAAATCTTAAAATCCGGGAGACCGGGAGTTAGCAGTCAAAACCGGGAGTCTCCCGGCTGAACCGGGAAGGTTGACAGGTCTGGTTGTTTTTGGTTTTTTCTCACAAGTAGATTCAAAATTTTAACAAAAAAGTACCAGTTATTGAATTTGTGATGTTGAGAATACTTCTTAGAATAACCCCTGGAATATTTCAGTAAATTTGAAAAATTGGAGACTATACATGAAGAATGCCTTGAGCCCTCTATATGCTGCCATACGCCATGAACTGAATCAAGTTTCTCTGGTCTCGGCCTGTCGGCCCTTGAGAAAAACGTTTTTCCATGAATTAGTGAAATGTGGCTGAACTTTGGCCAGCAGTTATTATTAGAACAAGCCCACAGTCCGGATGTGAGATATTTATTTTTCCAACATCATCTCTTAAACGGAAGTATTCTTCCGCCTATCTGGAACGAATATTTTGTTCTGTCGCAACTCGCCACCACAATACGAGACTACGTCATGGTTGGTTGAAACCAGGCGAAACGGAAAATTCTCCACGTCATTTCGTAATCGCAAATGTGAATGTATTTATGCACGTTAGTCGAATCGTAAACAAGATGGAGGGTATATACAAATCGCCGGTGATAAAGGAAGAGAAGCTCGAAGTGAAGCGGGGCTCACTGGAGATGCCAAAGGACTCCAAGCTAAGTTGGCGTAAGCTTTGGAAAACGCGATACTTTGTGTTCTGTGAAGTAAAGAAGGGGGAGTCGCGAAAGTTGCCCCTGTATTTCTACAAATCAAGATCGGCATATATGGCAGATGAATTACCCGAAGGTGGGTCTTCCCATTTATATTGCTTGTGACCCAACTCCAGTGCCTGATTGTCCAGTGTCATTTTATTTTGTATTGATGATGTAGTGTAAATAATTAGTGTAGGCCATCCGCAATCCATATTTACTTCCGTATTTTATCTTTAATTCCTCATACCGGTGTGTTGGAATTTGAAATTTCATATCGATGAGACTTGAACACTGGTTATTTTAATACTTTTTCCTCAAGCAATGCACTGTCAGTAGCGAAGTTTTTTACTGATGCTGTAATATGAACCGCCTTTTAGGGAACAAAGCTTTCGCACTTTAAAACTGATTTCCATCTCCATCCACCGCTAAGGATATGTTTAAAAAGCGTGTTTCATATGTATGTGCATGCTGTTAGGTTCTACAAAGTTCCTTACGTACCTTCATTCTGGTGCTACCGTCTTTTTTAGGTCTTGCCTTCATTAGGTTTCATATAACTTCATTAGGTGGTACGGTACCAAGAGTATTCATCCAGCACCACCAAATATCATAACGTATTAAGAGACTCTATTAAGTACCATACACTTTAATCAAGTACCAAATGCCTCCAATAGGGGGTCATATACCTTCCTCAGGTACCACATACCTTCCTAAGATACCACATATATTCCTCAGGTACCACATACCTTCCTCAGGTATCACATATCTTCTTCAAGTACCACATACTTTCATTAGGTACCACATACCTTCTTTAACTACCACATAACTTCATTAAGTACCACATACCTTCTTTATCTACCACATACTTTCATTAGGTACTGCATACCTATTTCAAGTGCCACATACTCTCATTAGGTACCACATACCTTCTTCAAGTACCATAAACTTTCATTAGGTACCACATATCTTCTTCAACTACCACATACTTTCATTAGGTACCACATACCTTCTTTAACTACCACATAACTTCATTAAGTACCACATACCTTCTTTATCTACCACATACTTTCATTAGGTACCGCATACCTATTTCAAGTGCCACATACTTTCATAAGGTACCACATACCTGTTTCAAGTGCCACATACTTTCATTAGGTACCACATACCTTCTTCAAATAACAGGGATCTACCTCAAGTACCACATACCTTCATACTGCTTCAAAGGTTACCACATACCTTCATTAAGTACCATGAAAATTTTGTGATACTGCTGACCCATTTTGTTCCCTTCAGAAGGGTCCCTTTTAACATCTGATGTGATATGTAACCATTAGCTTCAAATGGTTTTTTATGAAAAAAAACATATAAAAAGCAGTAAAAAAATATTGTAATCAAAAGTTTGAATACAGCAGCAATTGAAAATCTTAAATAGATTTTGCCTCAAGTAGATATTTTAGAATGCTTCCAGTTTTAAGTTATGGCTTGCAAGAATACAGAAGATTTATCAATGCCAGACTATATCAAGAAAAAATTTTGCCAACTATAAAATCAAAAGTATTTGCAACGAAAAGCTTTCTGTAACTTTCTTACAAAGTTAAAAGAGGCAGATGATTTAAAATCAAATACATATTATTTATACATTAGTTGAGATTTTTGGCTGCAATGTGTCCTATATTTTGGATATTCAATGAAAAGTTAGGATTAAGAGGGGTTTAGGTGTAAAGACAATGCATCCACTAGCAGAGATGCCAGAAAAGCTATAGGCAAAGGGGGAAGTGTCAAGAAAAAGTGCAAAACAAATTACAAAATTTGAAGAAAAAATCTTAATTTTTTCAGGCCAATTTTGACAATTGCCTTGCATGGCCCTGTGCTCTGGTATCCCTGGTTAATAGTCATTCAATAATAAATTAATGAAGCCAAAAGTTACAGTTTTAAATCCCTGGATCATCAACTGGAACCTTGTCCAAGTTAATGAAGGATTACCTAATGGGGGCTGAAGGTAGTTGGCAGCTAAGGAAGGGGGCAAAAGAAGGCACCTTTGCCTCTTTACCTCTATTGGCTAAGTGGAATCCTAAAATGTTGAAATACCTTCAGAGCTACTGTTCCTAACAGGTTCTTTCCTTTTACATCATAAATTTCAAACATTGCCCAAAGCCCTTTTTCTCTCAACAAGCAAAATAGGGTCTTCCTAGATGGAAAATAAATTTATAGGGCAACATCCATCATTGGGAAAATCGCTTCCAAAATCTACAGGAGGGAAAGTTTAGGAAACATTCTACTAACTCAAGTGGTAGAACTGCCCCAATTATGCTATAAATAGTATAAATTCTGCTTTATTAGGGGGGCTTCAGCCCCTAAGCCTCCTACACCTATGTTACTAAGTACTTGCTGAAATACTACCCCATTTCGAAAATTTAGACAAATCACAATATTTGTTTTCAGGATTTACTTTCTTGCAAATGTTTACTTTCAAAGTAAACAAAACCAGATTGGTTTCTTAATATATAACTTTAACAAGGAAATGATATTTTTCACTGCACCCCTGCTAGGAAGTGCAGTTTTGAAGTGTTAACTTTGTACGTTCGAACGCTCCACATTCCATTGTCCCATAGTCCGTGTTTTTACGATAGCGGGTTAGCAGCTTACTGAAGCTTCTGTCAGTTGCTGAGTTCGTATTGAATTCTAGTCGCGCGGTTTTAGCAGACTCGAAAAACAAAGAAACTGCGAAATACCTTGAATTTTTGGCTAGGAGTAAATTTCAGTGTACTATTTCGCAATAAATTTCACCCCCCTTTACAAACCTTTCTTTCGGAAGTTAGGAAGGGGCGGGGACTTCGTCATTCGGGCTAGCGTCACTTTCGATACAGAGGGTAGCACGAGTTTAGGGGGAGGGGAATGCGTTGGGTTTAGGTCGTCACTTAACACTACGACAGTTTGTGGCTTATTTTATCCAGGAGAATTTAGGCTCGTCTTTCATTGTCTTTTCTTTGGCATATTTCAGATGTCACGTCCCAACATAGCCATTTCCAAGGGAAATTTGCTGAGGGGGGGGGCGAACCTTTGTCTATAGAAATATGAGGACAAAGCCTATCGTTTAAAACAATGGAAAGTCACTGGGGCTGCAGGGGCAGTTGCCCCCCTAGTTAGTATGTTAAATAAGGCACTGTGTCCCAAGTTCTTTCCCAAATTTCATTCAATGTTCCTTTGTCGCTTGAAAGTTCATATCTTTCTTAACTATCAGTTTCCTTCAATTTATTTTAATTTATTATTCAACTAGTTATTCTATTATTTAATTTATTTATCACATTATATTCAATTTATCTTGCATCGTCTTCTGCTCCTTCGCTTGACATTCCTTCGACTTCAAACTGTTATATTGCAATAACAATATTTAACCAAACCAGTTCAACCAAAACCGTAAAGCCCTTTTGCTGAACGTACTTTAGTGTAAAGTGCCTGGTTATGTCCAATGGTGTGCTCTCTGCAGCAGAGGTGGCGCAAGAAATCTTCCGACAGAGAGGCTGGAGCTTCCGACAGAGGGGTTAGAATAAGCAGTTTTCGTACGTTATTTTGTCAAATTTGCTCCGACAATAACCGAAAATTTCCTCCGATGGGGGGGGGCTAGATGCTTCCGACGGAGGGGCTGTAGCCCCCCTAGCCCTCCCCTGGCGCCACCACTGCTCTGCAGGAACATGTAAAGAAATCAGCTCTCATTTTAGGTGTATTAGAAAAACTTATTATAGATTAAGAACTGCAAACACAATTTGAAATTTAAGATAAATCAGAAATTTGTTTTTTATGGGTACTCTCGCTTTTGAATCTATATTTCGTTTTAGACTATAAATTGATCTTTCTTATTTAGTAGCTTTCTGAGTGAAAATAGCAGCCTCTAGAAGCAGAGTCCAGGAAGGGAACTATTTACAAAGATCCATTGTAATGCCCTACCCATCCAGCGATAGTAAAACAGTCGGTAATTTTTCCTCGTATATCTCTAAACTGTGACTGAAGCGAAAACGAATATTAATAGAATTTCTTTTCTGCAGGATTAATTGATCTTACCGATGCAAGCGAGATTGGCATGATAGGCCACAAAATTGGCGGCCATGAGCACATCATCAGCATGAAGACACCTAACGGCTGCTACTACGTCTCCGCAGCGTCGTGCGCGGACATGTTCAATTGGATTATACCATTGCGGTCATACCGATTCAACGACGAATCCGAGGTATGTTACACGCGTCCTCGCTTGTCTCGTCCCGAGCTTATTTTCGGGGCTGTAGCTATGGGGGATATGTGTGGGGCGTGAATTCCGTTGCCAACAGGCACCCCTTTCGAAAAATATTCCACGTTGGAAAAAGCATGTTCAATTTTGGCATCGTTGCATTGCTTGAAAATTCCTGCTGCCCTTTTAAACTGCAGCCTGGGCTGAAAAGCTTCATATCGGCATATTGATTTTTTAACTCTTATGTCTTTTTCTCTTATTTTTTATCTTTTATCTCTTACACCGTCTTATGTCGTCATGTTGTTTTTCAGTTTCCGAGTGTGACGCAGATAGAGGCAGAGAGACGGTAAGCTACTTACCATTTGTTACATACGTCCAATTATGTGCACCCTATGTGCACCCTATGTGCACCCTAGACAATTATGCGCACTCAAAAGAAAGCGCATTACAGAACCTTCCAAGGTGGTTTTTTCTAAAGAAAACAAATTTCCCACCTAGGCCTGACCTTGCCTTATGATTAGGTTAAGGTAAGGGTTCATTTTGCTATGGCACACTGATATGGTGTCGAAATATGTCTAGGGTACTGCATCACGTTACAGGGGATGAATAGTCATTACCACCTTTTGCGTTTTGTCGCATGATAAATGCCAGAAAGCTATTGAGTGTTCTGATAGAGTGATGATAAATTCTTTCGTTCGGGAACGATGATGCAACATAGGTTGAAGAACGAACATTGCACCAACATAAAACATTGCTCCCACGTAGGTTGCTCCAATCCTTCCTAAACCCTTGACTCAGAAACTCAGATATATTAAAAAATTAACCTAAAATGCGAGGGTTATACCGAAGAAGGCTAATGATCATATAAAGAAACACAGCAAGGAACGTTAGGGTCGAATGTAGCCCTCTAGTATCGGACATCGCTAAGGTTTGTGTTGTGGTGAATTTTCCGAGTGTGACGCACAGTAAGTACATGTATAAAAGAAATCTCTTGTTATTAAGAAACTTTCTTAGGCCTCAGTTAAAAAAGCGGTTTCTTATACAGACGGGTACTTCCTGTATGAAACCACACACCTTACTCGTGTATTTTAACTCCAAACCCTTAAAAGACCAACACGTCCCTCGTGAAATTAACTCTGATAAAATTTCATTTTATTAGAATTAATCTAACTAATATTGTGATTAATTCTATCTTTTGGATTGATAGAAACTTCATGATGAAAATCTATTTTCATTATAAACATAGCATATTAACTATTTTTAGGTCAAGTACATGGGATTCTTCGAAGACTCCACGAGTTAGATCTCCGTCTGCGTGGAGTGCTCCAGAAGGAGTTTTTGGTGAGTTTTGTATTTGTCTCTCAAAATAAATTATATACTTTCATTTAATCGTTAACTTTTTTGATACCCTCAAGTTGAGTGACCTTCACAACCACGCAGGGGCGTCGCCAAAAGGGGGGGGGTTTACAGGAGGGGGCTGCAACTCAAGCACATTGTCCGTCTTCATTTCCTGTGATATACATACAAACTGTATAATTTTTGTTCTGCCCTACTAACAAAAACAAAGATTAGCTTTCAAAATAAAACCATTTGGTATTATCAGCGTCTTTTAAATATACCAAATTTCCGGCAATTCGTGAATGATTTTCAGCTCCTCAAGTATTTTAATTCATTCAAGTAATTTAATTCAAGCAAGCTAAACAAAATTTTTTTCTCTTTTTACATTAGTCATTCTAGATAAGTAAAAACACTTAGACAGCCAATTTTGTTACGTCAATTGAAGACAAACATGCCTGTGTGGTTGTGTCAATTATTATTTATACTTTTATACTCGCATTCGCATATACGTTTTTCATCACGAGCTTAATAGAATGTAAGCGTTTTGGGTTCACATATTTGCCTCTAGTACCATTGCTACCATATCTAGTACCATATTTGCCACCTGGTTTAAAACATTAATTTCAGCCATTGAAAGATAAAAATTTCCTTACATGTTGTATGAACTACTAGCTTTGATGATAAAATTAAGCAACAAACCTGAAACCCAGGGCAAGGGGTAGGGTACATCAATACTTCAATAGTATCTAGTTTGCTAGTGTTGATATGAATTAAATCAAAGTTATTATAGATTTTAAGATCTACTAACTTTCACCTTGAAAACAAACTATGAGTATTGTTCTCAATCACGTTCTCCTTTATCAATCCTTTATCGCTCTCCTTTAAAGTATAAACAAAATGATTGCTGTTCGAATAGCTACGATCAAAAATCGAGGACCAACAATTAGTTCTTTTTTAGTATGACAGTTTATTTAAACAAACCAAGCAACTTAAAATATCACTTTCAGTGGCTGGAAGTTTGTCAAAGCCTCGCAGGGAAATCTTGAATTTTTTTATTTTGGTGCCAGGAAGAAAAATATTTTTTCAAGCACTGTTATTAACTGGTGTTTCTGTAGTAGTTGAACATCCGAAGAATGGCATTAAAGTATGAATTTTTAAATAGAAACGCGTGCAAGCAGCATTTACTTAGCTTATGACCACACCCTTGAAGAGTGAAACATGCCCTTTTGTCAACAAAATTTATTTCTGTCGTCCACCGAAAAATTGCGGTGTGTTGCGGTGTGCAACCACGTAATGAGTTTTCCTGGATTGATTTTGAGAAACTCTCCTACAGGATCCGGATCGATATGTTTTATATTCCAGGCCATGTTGTGGTAGATTGATAGATTTATTGTCAAATTTAAGGTGTTATTTTAGTTCTGTTTTGAAAAGGAGCAAACTGTTTAGCTTTGTTGTTGATGCTGGTAAAGCGTTCCACATTTTGATGGCCCTTGCTCTGAAATTTCTGATTTGCCGGTTTTTTTCTGTGAGACATAACTTTTCCCTTTGGTTGATCTTTTATTGTATCCATGCACATCAGTTGAATACTGGAAACTTTCCTTTAGGTACACCGGTACGAGATCGGTAAAACTGACGTTCTTTGCACTCTCTCTTATCAAATCACTGCAATTTAGTCTACGTTCTACATTTCTTGAGCCAAGCCAAAATAGCCGTAATTCGCTAGCAAACTACAGGTCTTTCATTCGGCATATCACAACCAATCTATAACATATCAAGATTATTTTTCATATTTCAGGGTATTCTACAATGTTCTAGTAAATTTTGTGATCCAAATCTAAAAATAGATTTTATGACGTCACCGCTTCACTACTCCTGAAGTGTAGTTTGAGTTTTCGCTATTTTAACTTTACCCTCAATGACGTCATTTATTGCAAACTGTACAATGAAGCTTCTCTTCTGAAGAAATTGATTTTACATAGTATACCGTATTTCCTCTAATAAACGCCGCCCTCCAATAAATGCCGCCCTCTATTAAACGCCGCAACAAGTTGGATTTTGTAATAAATACCGCGACGTTCTTTAGAGGAAACACGATATGAGATTCGATGAACAGCAGGTTCGCTTTCAGCCAAGAAATAAATTCGCCGTCAACAGTATTTATTCTTATTTGTGTATCTATAAAAATCGAATTAAATTCCGAATTTTTCAAACTTTTCTTTGTTTTTCCTCGTTGCAAGTTTTCTCCTCTTTTTTGGCTTTTGTTGTTACATCTATTCAAGTAGTTGCCTACTATTAATTAATGTTAAATTACAACTTATTTAGCATTCATTTTAGCATCTGCCATAAAGTGATTTTCTGAATGTTTTTGTCCGAAATTCTCCAGAACACATACAAAGGTAGGCCTCGAAAAATGGAAGGCATAGGGGGGCACGTGCCCCCAACTTTTGAAAATGATTTTTCTCAAAAGTAACATCTATCAAAAGTGCCCCGTTCTGCGATAATGCCTCGGCCGCCCTTGTATCAGAGCCAAATGTATATTTCTGCTACGGATGGCGTTTTTGGCTGCAGTTTTCAAAGCTATAGGACAATGGTTTGAATGCAGTTGTCGTTAAAAATCACAACTGACTGTAATCATTTCAGTGTGTTAGTTGTTAAGTCCTTCTTTCTTCCATAGGGTCGCCACAGTTTACGACAAAGGATTACACAAATATTTCCCGGAATGAAAAGCTGCGAAAAAGGCATTTCTGTAACAAATGTCAGAAAATAAAAGAAGAATTCCAACCAGAGGACACGTACGGGTATGTGAGGAGCCCTGATGCAAAGAAAGAGGCCCCAAAACCGAAAGCTAGCCATTTATCGTCAACGGAAGACCTATATGAAGTAATACCGGATTTATATAAATCTAAAGGTCCTGAATACATAAATCTACGCCCGCCGATGCCATTGCCGTCAATGCTCTTGCCGCCATCGCCGCCGAATCTTGCGGCGACAAAAGGACAAACGCCAGACCATTGCAGTTCAAGCTCTGACAGCGAATCGCAAGCCAGCGGTGGCTCGATTGATCGTGACGCGTTTTTCCAGCATACACAAAGTATCTACGTGGGAAAAGGTACAAAGGAAAACACTGGAAATTCTACTGTTACTCATTCTTCTAATGAATATGAGGATATGAGATTGTTTTCGAAAAAATTAACAGAACTTTCTTCAAGGAGATCATTACAATGGGAAGCCAAAATCAACCACAGCAAATTTGGGAAAACATTATCGATCCCTAACAATATCAACAACTTATGTGGGCCAACATTTAACGCCAAAGTAAGTGCGAGTTACGAAAATATATATCGCTCCAGCACTTTGAGCTTGGAAAAGTCACCCAATGTCTCAAAACATTCAGCTATGATGTCACAAAATTCACAACAAAGCAGCAATGATATCATTCAAAAACCAACCTTCAACAATAACGGTCTACGTAGATTGGAAGAGAACAGTGAGCCAATTGGCGAGGCTGCGAGTGAATCGGGACCTTGTAACGAGGCCACTAAGAGGCCGATAGAGCATGATAGCATCGACGAAAGCCCTTACGAACGCATGTCCGGTGTAGCGGCAATCGGGGTCACAGGTTCAAGCGAGGGTACTTTGTCGAAGGATACGGCAACAGGGGCAAATGGCCGTTTAAACAAAGATGCTGTGATACCGCAATATATTTTAAAGAAATTCGACAATATAAAATTTGAATTTATAACCGACATTTAGATTAACACTTCAAAGTGTTGTACGACAGGTATCTTGTAGCTAAAAGCTCTTTTTAGGCCGATTTCCACTCTAGTTTTTGTTCGTTTATTCGCAGCGTGCAGTCTCATAGTCTAGTACTTGCCGCTTGTTTGCGCTAAGTCCCTCTAGCGATCCCAAAAAATGATTGCGGAGGCTCGATCGTGTTATGCGCGTGAACAAAAAGACTGGAGTGGAAGTTCACTTACAGTTTCCCTGTTTTATTTTGACGGTTAACCGATCTGATGGCGATCCGATCTGACGGTTATAACGCAGAAACTGAATATCACAAACCAACGCGTTTTGCGCAGCTTGTAAATTGATATGCAAATATCCTAATGTGAAAGATTGGGTCGTCCCTTCAAATTAAACTAGAAATAACATAAAAATTGACCAAATTAAAGACAAGTTAAACAAATCCCGTTTAAGACGCATTCGTAAGCAGCGGGAATAGAGAAGGAAGATCAAGACAAGTGAACCCGTCTATAGCACCGGGTCTGCATGATCGCTAGACGAAAGTCAGAAGTTGGACAGAATTCACTATACAATCAAACTTTTTTCCCTTTTCATCCTCAGCTTTTCCCAGAGAGGGTCTAATGATCTAAAGGCATGATGCCCCTTCTGTCATTCCTTTAGAGTTAACTATCGGCTTTGCAGCGCGCTTACAATTGAGAAAACCCTGAAAATTAGTCTTGCGTTGCCGATTGGATACGTCGTTATATGCAATAGTCCAACCATAGAGTGAGTCCAACCAATGGAAAATTTAAATGGGCATCAAAATGCGTCGGGAGATTGTGCCTTTTGTCCCAGGTATAAGGCTGCATGAGGAATATAGTGTTTCTTTGCGCAGTAAGTAACCCCAAAAAAGACATTTATTGTGATGTATTTGTAGAAAGTTTCTGATTGATCGCGAAGCGGAAAGTTTCTGATTTTTAATAGCCTCTAGGCTGTTCAGCTAACCACAAGGTTTATTAAACTTAGAATTATCAAGTTTGATATTAATTGAAACATTACTCGAAAGGTCTGTGTAAATAAATTTTTTATTCTTGATTTTGGAAATTTGTACGATTTTTAAGTAGTGATTGCCCGTCATTGTTGCTATGTATATGGTGTTCCAGGGCAGTTAGTTTATAGAAGTACAATAGGTTTTTCTACGAGGCATATTTTAAAATTGTTACGATGATAAAATATAATTCTATTTATTCACCTGAAATAACATTCATTCTCGCTAGAGGCATTTTTCTTCAACAATTTTCTTGTCGCTGTTTGATAGGTGCGAGGCAGAGTGTGGTCACATTGAGTGCGAGGTCAGCAGGCGTAGGAATCACGAGGTGTGTGGTCACATTGAGTGGAAGGACTAGGACACTGCTTCATAAGCACAGCTTCTCGGTGTCCTAAAACTACCTTGGTATGCTAACTAGCAAATACAAATAAAAAAAACAATTTTTACCATCTTTCAGGGGGACCTGAAGACACTGGGGCTAGAATTTCAAAGCAAGGTCTTGTATTCGTTGATTGCGACGTTCCACCAACGAAATTAGTCAATAAAAACAAACAGATATCAAAATTCTCTTCATTTATTTACACTTTTTTAAGACAGGCGAACAGGCGGAAATCTTATGGGTGAGCCACCCACTGTTTACAGTCGAATGGAAGAGCATGCGCAGTTATTGAGTTTAATGAACATAGTATTCTTTGACTACAAGGACGGGGGGATGATACATTACAGCACTGATCTTCAGTTGAGGAGTTTGCTTCTATCAGAAGTCAAGTCGAAGCAGGAAATCCTCGGCTCATGCTAAAAAACTTATTAAAGTCAATGCGGAGGAGAAGCTGGGCAAGATGAGGCGACACCTGGTGGCTGCGAACGCTTGAAAGAATCTTGAATAGCAGCAGCGAGTGTTGCTCGAATGCCTGCAGAATAAGCAGAAAATCAAACAAGTTTTCTTTTATTAAATACGTCATTGGTACAGCAAAATTTGAAGATAGCACGTAAACATAGCATACCTTAGTAATCTTAGGTCCCGAACAAGCGGGGGGTCTCAATAAGCGGGGGTGGGGGTGGAAAATTTCTTACAATATTCATTAAGCGGGTGGTCGAAATTTGGTGTAATGTACCCGACCGCTATAGAGTGTGTAATGTACCCGACATCTTAAAGGCAATTTTGACACAGCGCAGTGAAACATTAGTAGCCTGCGTCCCAGACCCCTTACTTTCAAGTTAGTGGTCTTGAGCACAGGCCATTAAGCACACTCCTCAGTAAAGTTTACTATCAAAGATCTGCTAGAATAGGCTACTAATCTAGGAACTGTTGAGAATGAAAGCTGCTCATCTCTTATCTGGGTAAACTAAACCTCAGTCTTTCACCCTTTTTGAAGGGCTCTCCAAAAAAAATTGAAATTTAATAAGCGGGGGGGTCCTAATGATAAGAACCTCTCACAAAAAGAGCGGGGGGGGGGTAGGAAATTTCTTCGAAAAAAAGTAAGGGGAGGGGACGCCTGTTCGGGACTTATGAGTACTTTGCCTCAAACACTCGTGTCGGATATCGACCAGAGAGAGGCAAGAGAAACTAAGAAAAAACTCGATCGCGCAATTTTTTCTCTCACGTTACTTTATAATAAAATCTTCTGCTTATCTTTAGTTGCTTATTATTTGATGTTTATAATCTAAAAAGTGTCGCACAAAAAGTACTTCTGTATGTTATGTTTCCACTTTTCGGTGCTATCGTCAAATTCATGAAGTATATTGACAGACTGCTACTACTGGAAGGAGTTACAACTTAAGCAGATCCTGTTACAACCAAATCATTTTTGTATCTTAAAGCTCCCTCGGAATTTTGAAAGACAGGACAAAGGAATATTGATGATCATGACAACTGTTTGATTCTAATGAAATTTTAAAGAAATTCGGGAGAAAAGTGTTGTAGTATGCAATGGCGGACAAACTTGTTGAGGCAAAATTCAATTTTTGCAGTTTTCTTCTTCAAGTTGCCCCTTTTAACTCGAATCCCCTCCTTCGCAATAATTAATGTTGAATTAGTAGCTCTGTCTTTGTGCTTCAAAAACATTCAACATTGAATCGGGGGAGGGAGAAAGTTATTTTCGAAAGAAAAGAGAAAGCATAAACAAATGAACTATTCGTATTCTTAAAACTGCAGAAGCTATTCCAGTTTTTATGCCTAGTACAAGAAAGACTGGAAAAGGGGATAACACATTTGGTAAAAACAACCAAAACAGAGCACAAGTCGAAAAAATCCATTTATTTCATTAAAAAACCAAACAAAAAACCAATCCTGACCATTCTGAATGCGCTTGGTCAGGAATAAACGAATTAAATCGGATTTTCATAACAGACTTCTTCGACTGTTATCCTCAATTTTTGGAAATGAAAAACAACATCATTAATGAGAAGACTGACAAATAAAATACCTTTCCGAGTTCTTCCGACCGGCTCTGCTCTCGCTCAGTCCACTTGTCCACATTCATAGTAACGACTTCACTAAACATACGGGAAATCTTCAAAACTTCCCCAAGGGTATTGAAGACCTTAAAATTCGAAAAAAGCATATCATGTATTTAAATAAAGTTGAAAAGTACTTGGTTCTTAACAATGTATCGGTGAAAATGTAGAGGAGACTGCTTCAAAGTCTCGGTTTGAAAAGGAGACCATCTACCCAAGATGTCGATGTTATTTGATTTTATGTTTTCTTTAAAAGAGCGGGAAAAAAGGCTGGGAAAATTCAGAGCTGAAAAGCCACACTAAAAAAATCTGGTATATTGGTAAGACTAAACCTTCCAGAGCTACAGAACCAAAGTTTCATCAGCGAAGTGTAAAAATTTGGCTAGAACCATAAGAGCAAATTAAATCTTTATCTTAAAGAAGCTAGCACAAGCATTTGCTGAACCTTTTCATCAGAGATGTGACAGTCTGTAGCAAGACAATGATTGGTCGAAATGTAACCAATCACCTGCATCCTTATGCTAATTAGCATTGTTTTTATTTACAGGGCCAATTGTTAGGCAGTTGCACTGAATTGCTACCTTGTGTAGAAAACGTTAAATTTGATCTGCAGTATTTGACTTGAATTGTGCAAATTGTGATGCCAGCATGAAAATGGGTACACTGGGGTGATTTCACACGCTGATGACGATGCCGAACAGACCCAAGCCGAAAAATGCCCCCAAGTGCTATTTTTAGACTAGGGTACTTGGCCCTAGTCCTCGAATTGGGCCAATCTCCATATGCCATTACTGATTTATGAAAAAAGTGGGAAAGGAAAGATTTAGGTGCATTATCATATATTAAAATATATTTAGAGAAAAGGATATGAAAAATTGCCCCTTTATGCTATTTTTAGAATACGAAATTGGTACCCATGTCTCTATTTAGGCATTCTTCTCTAAATAATTACTCTCTTTTATGTGAATATGAAATGTAGCTTTCTCCATTCTTTCAACAAACTGAAAAGTAATACGAAAAGATGTAATTGACAATCTTACCCCTTGATGCTATTTTTAGAATGGGGTACTGGAACCCAGTTCTCGAAATTGGGTTTTACCTTCATTTAAAACGATTCCGTTTATAATTCCATGCAGTGCACGGGGTGGGCTAAACATACTCCCACTCGACGACAAAGACAAACAGTTACTGCTAAAAGTCTGGAATATTGAATTCACATGGTCAACTTTACAGACCCCGTGCATTATTATTATAATTATTAATTCTCATTAATTATCATCACTAATTCTTTGATTTAAAGCCGGCTAGTTACAATAGCTAAAACAAAAGATAATTTGTTTTTTTGAAACTTGATATTTACTCACAGGTTTCATTGTGATGAAGCACTGGGCCATCAGTTTGGTAAGAAAACGATCATGTGCCGTCTGGATGCTCTCGAAATCTCGTGTTTCTTTTATCGCATGGACAAGTTCTGAGAACTGGGCTTCTAGCACATCAACCTATAAGGTAAATTGCAAAAAGTCAAATTTCCTAGCGTTGTTCCCTGTTAATTCAAGACGCATTGCCCCGCCCAACTCAGAAATAGAATCGACTCTCTTCAAATTGATATAATTCGACCCCCCCTTTCCAGGCACTGCAGAGTATGAGAAATGTGGGGGGTCTAAAAAAGTGGGGGGGGGGGGTTTAAAACCGTATAAAAAGAGGCTTTTCTGGTAGTTTGATACTTAATATTTGGCATTTTTTGCAAAAAGTGGGGGCTAATAAGGGAAAGCAGCCCCCTGCTCCGCAGTGCCTGCTTTCCCTTATTAGGACTTAGTTATAGGCTCGTGAACATTTCCCAAATGTATAAAAACCAGAGCCTTTCTAACATACCAACTTGGGGTCATTGCAACCCTAGTTAGTTTCCACTGTTTCAAACAATAGGCTTTTGTCCTCCTACTTATATCAAAAAGGTTTGCCCCCGCAGCTCCCGCAGCTACTTTATCTTGGAAAAGGCTATGTAAAAAATAACAAAACCTTGCTTAGTATATAACAAAACAATGAATTCTTATGAAGTAAAACTTTACGACAATACTGATTGCTTTGCCGACCGCCACAACCCGTCAGCTGTGATGGCCGAGTGGTTAAGGCGTTGGACTTGAAATCCAATGGGATATTCCCGCGCAGGTTCGAACCCTGCTCGCAGCGTATTTTGTCACTAGCTGGAAAACTTTGTTATCAATGGAGCATGTAATCAAAGGTAAAAGTCACTAGATATATTTTCATAATTTTGGCCAACAACTGTTATTATTGGGGCCATAAAACCTGAAAATTGGCGCTATATTTAGGACTAGGCCTAGAGATGCACTCGCAAGAATCTGCATGCACGATTGGAATACCTCTTGTGAAAATGTGAATAACTGACTGGGCCTAGTTTTCTTCAAAAACCGCGCGAAAATAACTTGCTGACGTCTAATCTTCAGTCGTTGGCTGTTTCTGATTATTTTTTTACAAAGAAATATATTTTCCGACAAGTTTTTCAAGTGCTTACCTTGAACCAGTTCGTAAGTATCCTTAAATTCTTCGTTTTTTAAGGTTACACAAAACTTTGGCATCAATTTCCTCATTTTTTGGTTAAAAGTTAGAAAAGGTAGGTATCTTGTCGCTGTGTGCAAAAAATGCTGGTAAGTGGTAGGCGACTATGTGAGTTATAAATGATTATAAAAAGCCTTGTGGCTTAGTTGATAGAGCAACGGCGTACTAAATGTTGATGACAATGGCGCTTCTCTTATTCATTCATTTTTTTTATAAGAAACAAAGGTCGATGTTGAGTGTACTCCAGTTTCTTAATGTTCTGGAAGTACACTAAATTCTTGAACATTTTATACATTTCCATTTTCGAATAATGCTGTTTTATGCAACGCTAAGATATTTTTTTTCTATTTGATTTATTTAAAAGTTGGTTTTATAATTCAAATAGCTAAAATAACAGCTAATTAAGGCCAACTAGAACTAAATGAAAATACATTATAATTTACAAAGAAAAACAATACCCAGAAATGAAAAAATTAATTAATCTAAAAACTCATTGTTTCTTACGGGTTTCTTAATTATGATGTCATGAATGATGTTATGAAATGTTCGTGACCTTTTTTCACGTCAAGAGATTCGCTTCCGTTCTGATGCTTTATTTAGATGTGGGAAGTATATTTTTATCCCTTGTGTCTTAAGTTCTAGGCCAACAGGGCAGTCGTGTTCTTGGATTTTACAAAATTCTTTGTTCTCAGTTTTATCACGATTTAATAGTTTCTTAATTTTTTTGCTTCGAGTACTGAAGTTTCTTAATTTTTTTCTGACTGTCCAGTACACGTTTCTTATAGCCAGTTTCTTAAAAAAAATGAGTGTAGCCATGACAATAAACGGCGTACTGAATGTAAACGACAATGGCGCTTCGATTAATGATGCTTCTCTTGTAATCCTTCTCTTCTTACGGTACTCACTCATATTCACCATCAGTATCAAGATTCTTTTGTTGTTGCTACCACCAGTCGAATTGATTTTCTCAGGCTCATTTCACTGCACGTTTTATGGGTGCTTTTTAACTGCATCATTACTCAATATAAAATTTTCCTCCATCACCAAAGCAATATAACGCCATTGACTTTGCTTCGTGAAACCTATCGTATACATGTACCCAATAAGGTTTTCTCGCAGTAATTGGGAAATTATTGCTCATTTCCCCTATACTTCTTGGAAATAACGGGCATTCAGACCAAAATACCAATTAAAGCTACCATGCCTGCAAAAACTCTGGGCACAGTACACTAAATTCTTGAACATTTTATACATTTCCTACTTACAATAATATCCACCTTCGAATAATGTTGTTTTATGCAACGTTAAGAGAATTGTTTTTTTATTTGATTTATTTAAAAGTTGGTTTTATAATTCAAATAGCTAAAATAACAGCTAATTAAGGCCAACTAGAACTAAAAGAAAATACATTATAATTTACAAAGAAAAACAATACCCAGAAATGAAAAAATTAATTAATCTAAAAACGGCTTTGAAAAAAGCAAACATTTAGTAAACTAAAGCTTTTCGTCTGACACTCTTCAGAGTTTAAAACGTCAGAACATAGATCGAAAACTCTACGCAAAGAAATATATATACCCAGTTGTGGATCGAAATAGGCCAATCAGAAACGCGAGCACATGACTGTAAAGGTTGACCAATCAGTGCCGCTTGCCTATTAGAATGTTACCAATGGAGGCCTAAGGTGAAAACGAAC